GCAAGACCTCAGGCGAGGCGGCCGAGGCGGTGGCGCAGCCAGCGGCACCAGCTGCGGCAGCGGGGGCCAAGACGGCAGGCGAGGCAGGAGGCCCCACGGCGCCTGCTGGCCCAGCGGCCGAGCCTGGCGGCTTCGTCGCCGATGGCGACAAGGATGTGGTGGCGGCGGCGCGCGCGCGGTTGGCTGCTGCGGCCAAGGGCGCTGGCCGCGGCGCTGGCAGCAGCGGCGGGGCCGCCACTGCTCCACGGCCGACCCTTTGACGTCCTTGACGGGGTCGGTCCCCACCATCGGCATCTACACGGTCACGAAGATCTCGCCGTTCTCGGGCTTGTGGGCGATCCACCTCGTCGGAGGTGCCACGTCTGGGACGGCCACTACTACATGGGGCACTGCGACGACGCGCAGTGGTTTTCTTCCTCTTCACTTTCTGCTTCCACTCCCGCAGGGGCGCCTGGTCCAGTCCACGACAACTACTTCTACCTAGGCGGCGAGAGTGACGGCACCTCCTTCACCAACACTGGGGCTACCTATCTTGATGGTCCGACGTATGATGACATGCAGGCCGTGGCTGGCCCTGATTACTGCGTCTGGAAAGATATGGACCCTGCTAGGCAAAACGCACTCGTGCTCCAGCGGGAGCTCGAACGTGCCCTTCGCAGATTCACGGGGCACTGGTTGGAGGACCCGCGCGTCCTGGACGACGACATGGACGGGATGCACTGGAGGCGGCACTGCGCGCCCTACGTTGCCAACTACCTGTCGCACCCGTTTCTGCGGCCGCTGGTCATGGAGAAGGCCCAGCAGGATGGGCATGACAACCCTCATATTGCTGCAGTTGATATGGCTATCGACATTTGCAGGCGCGCATTCCGTGCTCGGCGGCGAGCGCGTTTCCACTACCACGACTGGCTACGGAGCCTCGAGGCCCTCGACCCCGATGAGTACGACAACCAGCTTGCCCTCCACGCCGAGGCGATGATTAGGGAGCAGGAGTTCTTTGACACTCGAGTGGATCCTCGCCGCCCCGTTGGAGAGGAGGCCAGGCCTGCCTCGTCCCACACGGGCTGCTCTGACACGGTGACCGTCAGCGACTACGAGGGCAGCGATCCTGACGACTCAGGTGGCACTGCGACTGCGAGCTCCACGGGCAGCTGTCCTGCTTCTCGTACACGCTGCAGCGCCACGGCTTTTCGGCGCGCGCACAGCCTTGGACGACGTCGTCGACGGGGCCTTCGAGCTGGAGCAGCCCGACCCCAAGCCGGGCACGTCTTACTGCAGAGTGGGAATGGAGCTGACATCAGATGCAGGCTCCCAGCCATAGCGTGCTCCGACTGCTGCCCCCTTGGGCCTCTTGGGTATCGGAGTGATCACCCCCCCGTCTCTCCGAGAGCTGTTACGGTCGCCGAGCCATCAGCGTCGGTCCTGGAGGACCAGGTCGGCCGCAGGTCGGCTAGCGTGAGAGAAGGAGGGGGGGGCCCTGATGGGGCCGCGTCGCCCAGGGCCTCGCAGAGACATCGTGGCAAGGCCTGCAAGATCATGACGGTCAATGTCACGGGCTGGGGCTCCCTCCTCACGCAACTGGAGGAGAAGCGCATCCCCGATGACGTGCAGGCTGTGCTCATCCAGGAGCACCACCTGGAGGAGGCCAGGATCGAGTCGGCGCTGAAGGCCGCCAGGGCCCATGGGTGGAAGGCTGACCTATACCCTGCTCGGCGCACGGGCAACGGCGACGGCACCACTGGCGGTATCGGCCTCCTGGCCAGGCCGCACGTCGCCTTCAGACGCCTGCAGTTCGACCATGACGGTATCCATGCGGCTGGTACGGCTCGTCAGGGTTTCTGGACCACCGACCTGGGGCCTAAGGAGGGGCTGGTGCTGGCGGGCCTCTACCTGCACACCAGCAAGGACCTGGAGGATGTGAACCTCGACCTCCTCTTCCAGATCGGCAGCGTATTGCACGCCGCAGGCAGGCCATACGTCCTGGGCGGCGACTGGCAGAACCTGCCCGAGTCCCTCAACTGCCTCCGTTGGCCCAAGGCGGTGAAGGGCGAGGTGGTCGCGCCCGACCAGGCCACGTGCTACACGGCCACGAGCGCCAGGGTCATCGACTACTTCCTCGTGCGGCACGACCTGCATGGGTGCCGTGCTCGCACCTTCGACGGCCTCTCGGTCACGCCGCACAAGGGCGTCATCCTCGAGCTGGACGTGTCGCAGATCCCGCTCATGGTGCGCAAGGCCCACATGGCCAAGGCCTTCCCTTCGAGCCAACTGGTAGGCCCCCAGCTTCCAGGACCTGACTGGCAGGCGGCAAGCGAGGCGGCTGCTGCAGCCCACGACCGCGACAGCCTGGACGGGGCCTTCAGCGCGCGGTTGCGGCGCTACGAGGACGAGCTGCTCCAGCACTTCGGCTGCGAGCAGCCTGAGCGGTACCGTGGCAGGTCCGACGGCGCTCGTCTGGTGCACTCGACCCTGCAGATGCACTGCCGCAACCAAGCGAAAGGACGTGGAGCAGCTGACCCCAGCGAGGGCCACTGGCAATGGCTTGCCCAGAGGCTTCGTGAGTGGCGCTGGCGACGTGCCGCGGTGTGCCGCCACCCTAGCGCTGAAGGACAGCTACGCCTGCGTCGGCTGCAGCTGCGGCTTATGCGGTTCACCTTGCCGCAGCCCACGCGCTGGCCCGACATGTGGGAGGCATGGCGGCCCCTCGTCCGACGACTCGATCAGTTGGGCGGGGAAGACCTCGACCACCTGATGCACGACCTGGAGAAGTGCGCCGAGCGCGCTGCTGGCCAGGCCTCCTACCGCAGGTACAAGGCATGGGTGGACTGGTCCCATGATGCCACCGCTGATGGCGGCATGCGGCGCGCCTTCAAGTGGATCAAGCAGGATGCCCCCTGGGCGTGCACCAATGCAGCGGCTGGACCTGGCATTGCCAAGTCTCTCGTGGAGGAGGCACGTGACGCTGTTCAACCGTGGCACGACCTATGGGGCCAAGGCGAAGGCATCACAGCCGTGCGCTGGCCCACGGACGTCGGGGACATCGAGCTCCCGTCGATCGAGGACTTGCGGAAGACAGCACACACCTTCAAGTCGGACACAGGGCTGGGCTGTGACGTGGTCCACCCTCGACATCTGATTTTTCTAAGCGATGATGCGCTACAGACCTTGTCGGTACTCTGGTCTCAGATGCTGCGTCTTGGCTACGTCCCGGCCCCGATTCGTGTCATGCGCGAGGCTCTCCTTCCGAAGCCCGATGGTGGGAGACGCACAATTGGCATCTTCCCTGGCACGGTGCGGTCACTGACGCGATACTTGCGGGCCACCACGGGCGCGAAGTGGGCCGACAAGAACAAGCGCAGCTACATCTTCGGCACCGAAGGTCAGAGTTGTGAGGCCTGTGTATGGAGGCAGGCGGCTGCTGGCGAGTGGGCCACACACAGTGGTAAGACCTGCCTCTCCATCTTGCTGGACCTCTCCAAGGCCTATGAGTACATCCGCTGGAACCGTCTGGCGACCTGCGCTACCGACCTGGGCTTCAACATGTGCTTGCTACGGCTACTGCTCATGCTGTACTCCATGCCCAGGCTGCTATCCTTCGAAGGCATCGTCTTCGAGCTGATGACGCCGATGCGTGGCGTGGTAGCAGGATGCTCATTCGCTGACCTGATGATGCGCATTTTTCTTATTCCCATTTTGGATGACCTGGTGAGCCTGCCTGGCATCTCAGTCGGCAACGTGGTCGATGACATCCAGATGCAGGCTACAGGCACTCGACCCACCGTCGTGCAGCAGCTCAGCAAGGCTTACCGCCAGGCGAGGAGTGCACTCCACGACGCCGAGCTGCTGCTGAACGAGAAGAAGGGCAAGCTCATCGGCAATGACTACCAGGCCAGCGTGGACCTCGGCAAGCGCTGCCCGTCGCTCGTGCAGGCCAGCGACCTGTCGACCCGCAACCTGGGCTGCGACTACAGCTGCGGCAAGCGGCAGGGCATGCGCACGCGGCTGGGGCGCCTGGGCAAGGTCAGAAGGCGTTGTGCAAAAATCCGAGCACTTCGCAGGGCCAGGGGAAAGTGCAAACAGCTGGTCAGCATGGGGCTGGTCCCTGCTGGGACCTGGGGTGACGGGGTCACTGGAAGGTCGTGGAGCGGAGTGATGGCCCTCAGGAGGGCTGCGAGGGCGGCCCTGTTCCCTCACACGGCCCGCAGATCCCTCACCATAGACCTGGCTCTGGTTCCTGGAGACACCGCGTCCATCGACCCCGCGCACCCTTGCACGGTGAACCCCATTGTCATGCTCGCCCAAGCCTTCTGGGACGCCTGGATGCCTCGGGAGATTTTGTGCCGTATGCTCTTCAACGCGGACAAGGCCCTCAGAGGGGCCAAGACACCCTGGAGCCAGGTCACGGGCCCTGTTTCGGCTGCGCTGGCTTCTTGTTTCAGGATCGGTTGGACTCTTGGAACGGGTGTGGGCAAGTTGTGTACTGCCGACGGTGAAGTGCTTGATCTATGTCGTGAGTGCCCCCGCACAGTGAGGATGGTTGCGCAGTGGGGTGTCGAGGCTTGGCTCCTTGACAAGGCCCGCTGCGAAGATAGCTACCTTAGTACCCTCTCCCACGGACCCTACCTCGCCCCTTTGAAGGCCCTGGTGTCTAGCCGTACTGATGACGACTGGACTGGCATGCACAAGGCTACGCTCCGATGTCTTGCGGCCAACGGGTTCTGGGGGGATGAGCGGCTGCACAGTGTCGGCCTGAGGGATAGCCCAATGTGCTCGCTCTGCGGTGAGGCCCCTGGGACCGTGGGGCACTGGTGTTGGGGGGACTGCGCGTGCACTTGGGCTTTCCGTCGCGACTACCTAGTGCCACCTTCATTGCGAGAGGGTGCCTTAAATCACCCCGACTGGCCCCTCTGGAGCCACGGCCTCGTGGCTGACCCTCGGCCCTGGCTTCCTCGTCCCACGATGGACCTGCTCGTTCACTGGCGCGTGCGACCCCCGTCGGGGGCCTTTGAAGGCCCATGTTTTGGAGACGGCTCGTGCCGTTCGCTTGTGGCCTCTGACCCCAGACTTCGCCGTGCTGGCTGGGGAGTTGTCCAGGTGAATTCGAGCGGTCTGGATGTCTTGGCCTCGCTGTGCGGCCCCCTCCCAGGTTTAAACCAGAGCCCTGAGGTTGCCGAACTCTTTGCTCTCAAGATGTATCTTGATAATGTAATGCTTGGCCCCTATGAGTACCTCTCTGACTGTGATTGGGTGGTCTCCAGCTTCCGTAAGGGACGTTGTGAGACCACTGGTGCGCTGCACGCCTGTGCCGACTTATGGGGGGGGGGTTTGGGACCGTGTGTCGGACTTGGGGGGGGAGGTCGTTGTGATTAAGGTCAAGGGTCACGCGCGTGTGCGCGATGACGACCTTGACGATGGTGCTCGTTGGAGGCGCCTAGGCAATAAGGCTGCTGATGAGACGGCGCGCGCTGGAACCGCCATGCACCCCTCCGATCAGGAGGCCGAGGATCGAGTGATCCGCTCCCATCGGCTGGTCCAGTATGTAGGTAAGTACTTGGCCAGGACCATCCGCGGGGCAGGGCCAAGTCTGGCCTCCGCCTCCCGTCGCGAGGTGGGGCTTCGGAGGGGGCGCCGAATCGTCCCTCGGCTCTCGGATGATGCTGCGCCTCCCGAGGGCACTCATGACCCTGTCTGGTTTCCCAAGGGCGGCTTCAGGTGCATCAGGTGCCTGAGATCGGGGAGCACGATCCAGATTTTGAAGGCCACCCCCTGCAGACCTGGAGCTGGCCACCGCGTATGGACGGTGGGCCCTTTTGTGTTCTGCAGTGTATGCGGTGCTTATAGTGAGCACAACACCCAGAAGCTCGGTCAAGATTGCCACGGAAGCTGCCCGCGTGGGTCTGTGGCGTGGGGCCGCCTGCGTAAGCTGTGGCGCGGCTGCCACCCCCGCAGCGGGATCGAGCTTCGGGCCTCGGGAGTCGGACCCCGCCCCACCCCCTTTGGCGCACTCGCCCTCGACCACAAATTTAAGGGCCTGGTGGTCCTTCCTGGTTCCGAGGAGGAGGATGATGCTTGAGGCTGGTTGGTCCTGGGTCCGCTCCCGTTTTTGAACTTTTGTGTTTTTCCTGACGGAGGCACTCGCCCCCCCTTCTTGCTCCTCCTCACCCCGCCTGGGAGGTGCCCGTCAGCCCAATGTTCGCGCCCTTAGCGCGAGGCCGCTGGCTGCTAGTCTCGACTGCACCCCTTGGCCCCACCAGCACAAAACTCCTCCTCCTCCTCCTCCTCCTCCTCCTCCTCCCCTTCCTCTTCATCCTCCTCCTCTTCCTCCTCACCCACTCTTCCTCCTCCTCCTCCTCCTCCTCCTCTTCCTCCGCCTCCCACTCCTCCTCACCCACTCCCCCTCCTCCTCCTCCTCCTCCTCCTCCTCCTCTTCCTCCTCCTCCTCCTCCTCCTCCTCCTCCTCCTCCTCCTTCTCCTCCTCCCATTCCTCCTCCTCCTCCTCCTCCTTCTCCTTCTCCTTCTCTTTCTCCTCCTCCATTGCGGAACGCCCGACGTCCTATGTTACCACCGTGCGAACGTCCCTCTCGCCCCCCTCCTAAATGACGCGGTCGCTGGCCCTCCCCCGCACCTTCGAACGCGTCGCAGCGTGGCGTTCCAAGACATTTGGGAGTGGCCTCTCGGAGCAGTGTTCTGCCCACCGTCTTTTTTTCACCACCTTGCGAACGAACACCCCGCTCGCTCCCCTGGAAGTGACGCAATCGAGGGCCTCCCCCGCGTGGGGCTCTTCACTGCAGGTGCCATTGCCCGCCTTCGTCGTCGTCCTCGTCCTCGTCGTTGCCTTCGTCGTCTTCGTCGTCGTCGTCGTCATCATCGCCCCGGGCCCGTTCCTGCGCCCCATCGGCCTCTGCCTCCTCCAGGTTCCCCTGTTTCCCGTTTTTTTCTTGTTCCTCGCTTCACCCTGCCATGTCCTGTTCCTTGAGTGTTTCGCCCCTTCATATTCGGTGAGACAGGCCGCTCTTTCAGGCAGCGAAGCTTGGACCCCAGTCCTTGCTTGGTTCGTGCCTGTATCGCGCCTGCCGAACGCGGCATCGCCAGAAGTGTCGGAGTTCTTGTTCCGTTGCTAGTTGTGCCTTCTTTTGGCGTTGCCGACATGCGGCCAACATCTTCGCATGCGCTTTCTGCACGGCAGCAGGACAGCGCCGCAATGAGACCGTCGATGCCAGCCTGAGTTGGGCAGTTCGGGGGCATTTGAGCATGCCTGTCTCTTGCTCCTCTGCCTCCCCCTCTTCTTCTTTGTGTGACCTGCCCTCCTTGATCCCGCTCCGGATGCGGCGAGGACTTGATCAGGGCTTACCATTTCGGCCCGAAATGCGTGGTGGAGGTCAAGCTCCTCATGGACATCGCAACTCCGCTCCAGGCCGAGGGGGAGGAGGAGGAGGAGGACCAGGAGACACAAGAAGACGAATCATAAGCCGAGTGCGTATGCGGAGGACGAGGGGAAAG